ATTCCATGAAGAGAGTTTGAAAATATTAAGAATATTTAGTCTTTAGAAGATTGGAGACATGGAAGATATGATAGCACCCTTCAATTATCTGAAAGGTTGTTGCACTGAAGATCTAGGGCTGTTTTTCCATCATAATAGCATGCAAAACATGGAATAATTAATTTTAATTACAGGAGGGCAAATATCAAATGAATCACAGAAAAAAATTCTAACCCTGCAGTTTGATAGTGAAACTATCAAAATTGGTACAAGTGAATACCAATATTGAGTACTGAAAATTGTTGGGTTCCCATTCACTGGGGGTGAATAGGAAAAGTCCAGCTGTTGCGATACTTTAATGTGGATTTCTTCACTGAGCAGGGAACTGGACTTGATGGCTTAAAAATACCTCTTTCAATTTTACAAGTTTGTGCTTAAATTCATGAGATTCAAATTGCTTATCTTTTGCCAATCAATACAAGAACTATTTAATTAATTAAAACTATTTTTATTCTGCAAATTAATCTAGTATTCAGTATAGCTCACACATTTCTGGTTAATGAATCTAAAGCTAATCTAAAACTAGTAAATATTGCTGCCTCTTATATTCAACTTAATCTACTGCAACTTCAAACCAAGAGCTCAATGAATTCTTTATAAATGAGCTCAGAGGTGGTATTCAGCAGGTTCTGACCAGTTCTGGAGAACCGGTAGTAGACATTTTGACTAGTTTGGAGAATCGACAAATATCACCTCTGACTGTCCCCACCCCCATCTATTCTCTGCCTCCCGAGTCCCAGTTGATTGGCTGGGTCTTCTTTTGTTGCCCTGCACAGGAGAATGGAGCTGGAAAGCAGGTTAGTGGGGTGGAGAGGGAATGGAGATTTTGCAGTATCCTTTCTCTGCCACGCCCATCAAGCCACACCCACCAAACCATGCCATGCCCACAGAAAAAAAATTTGAATCCCACCATTGGATGAGTTAGATTTAGTTTTCATCAACTCTCTTTGTGAAGCCAACAGTCCCTTAGAAAATTGTTTCTTTTTTAAATGATATCAGGCCAATAAATGACAGCAAACCATTTGCATTTTTTTAATAATCAACTGCCCCTCAGGAATGCACTGCAGACATATCCTTTGCTCAGAGAAAGATTTTCTCATGTTATATCTGAAGTGTAACATTTATTACACATTATAAACCTATTGTACATTACTTTCTCATATGATCGCATTATATCCTGAAAAATCTTGTCCAGTTTGTTGAACAATTTGCTCCAACAACTGATCAGAAGCTGGAATTGATGTATTCCATTCAGAAACATGAGTCTGGTTCTTTTTTGGTCACAACTACCCCTCCCTCTAAGGAATGATGAGAACAGAGTATCCTCTATGAATAACTTATTGCCAAAGAGAAAGCCACAAATTTGCAACGAAAAAAACAAAAGCTTTTGTAAACAGACAGGTCTTTATGTCATTCATTGACCAATAAAATGAACAACACAAAATTATCATCGAACAGCAAGAACCATTAGCAACCATTTGTGGGTGAAGCTTTCACATAATGTAGCAGTTTTGTTACTTTTAGGGAAATAAATTCATTTTGATTATTTAACAGTGCAAATAAAAGCTATCCTTGGAAATTGAAATAAAATGGTGCGTGCATAAGCGCACCAACGTGCCTACCGTCCCTGCCCTATTGTTTCTTTTATTTTTCTTATATGTATCCATGTATTCATAACTATGTTTTTACTTATACCTATTATCTTGTAAGCAATTGACAAACCAAATCAAATAAAAAATAAAATAAATAAATAAATAAATAAAAGAGGAGTAATCAACCATTGGTGAATGACCTTGCAGACCTGGCAATGTAGAAGAACATGAGCTGTGGTTTCTATGGTACCCATATCACAGGAGCGAGGCAGTCTCAGGTTTCATACGGGGAGTTTCCTATATTTCCCTTCCAAGAGAGCTTTGAGGAGGACATTAACTGGAGCTAAAGAAAAAGCTCTCCTAAAGGATTTGATTATTTGGTTATAGTCTTTGTGAGCTAGAAGTACATATATGAAATGGGTCTTCTTTAAATATTAGCCTGAAGCTTATGATTAATTTCTGCAGCCACCAACTAGAAACATAGGCAGGCTGTTCATTGTATTTTTGTGGCAATGCTTGTTCCTAACTGAATCTGAATCAGAACATAGCTGGAAGGACCTTGGAGGTCTTCTAGTCCAGCCCCCTGCTCATACCATTTCAGACAAATACAATCAACCAATGGAACAGCTTGCCTTCAGAAGTTGTGGGAGAGCCCTCACTTGAGATTTTCAAGAAGAGATTGGATTGCCATTTGTCAGAAATGGTGTAGGGTCTCCCGCTTGGGTGGGAGGAGGGAGTTTGGACTAGATGACCTACAAGGACCCTTCCGACTCTGTTAATCTCTAATCTCAAATCTTCTTCTTGTCCGGAGGAGAGAGATTAGGAAGAGCTCTTCTACTTGCTGGCTCTTTATCCATTATGGTCACCAGCTCTTTTCTTCTTGTCCAATCTTTTCTTAAAAACCTTCAGTGATGAAGCACCCACAACTTCTGAAGGCAAGCTGTCCCACTGGTTAATTGTCCTCACTGTTAGGAAGTTTCTCCTTAATTCCAAGTTGCTTCTCTTCTTAATTTAGTTTCCATCCATTGTTTCTTGTTCTGCCCTGTGGTGCTTTGGAAAATAAATTGAGCCCCTCCTCTTTGTGGCAGCCTCTTAAATACTGGAATTCTGCTATCATGTCCCCCCTAGTCTTTCTTTATATCAAATGAGCTTGATGCATTTGACATTGATATAACTGATTTGATATAAGTGATATTTGATATTGATATAACTATATCGTTTGGTTATCAGTTTGATGATATCAAACTGTTATCATCAAATAACATTGGATATTGATATAGCTGATTCGATATAACTCACCACTTTGGGAGAACCGGTTGTTAACTTTCTGAGCAGTTTGGGGAACTGGTTGTTGGAAGAAATCATTAGGGCAGAGAACTGGTTGTTAAATTTGAATCCCACCACTGATATAACTGATGTTGATGCAGTTGATATTCTTTGTATTTGATAAATTTTTCGGCATCAAAGTATTTGAACATTTAAATAATTACTGTTTCGCTTTATAAACACATGGTATTGTTCAGAATCCTGAATAACTCTACTAACTTCATCATTTTTGCATCAGGTAACTTCAGAGTACATTTTTCCTTACAGAGAACAAACGTAACCTTCCCTGTTCCCTCAGCGATAAACAGAATGAAACTGGTGAGTAATTTAGCAACTTAGCCGCCTGTTGTCCAAGTCCAAATGGAGGAACACTAAATTCATAAGTGTCTCTGTGGCGCTTCTCCGGATTTACAGAGTCACATCTGAGGATAAGTATCAGAGGATTCTTATCAGGAACAGTTGTCACCAAAGAGATATGTTTCCTTATCACAATATAGTATAACAACATTTTGTTATAGAAGACACAAATGATGTCATTCTGGTCAGTTTTACAATCCCCATGCCACTCTGTCTTCTTTTAGAGATGTTGAGGAAGGCAATAACAATTCACACTACCCATCCTTTTTTAAAAAAAACTAAATAAACAAGGAGCTGCAGGACAGTGTCTGACAGTTTATCTCCATAACCAACATTTTAGCCCTGAAGCAGAACTGAAATGGCAAAGAAACTTTCATGCTTGGATCCAGCCTTGTCTTACTCCCTTGGTGATTTGAGGATTGATAGACTGTAGGGTCCTGGATGGATCATGGAGCCAGAAGCAAAACAATTAAAATACAGGTGTGTTTTGCTTTCAAGTGACCTGGCAGATATTGATAAAAACACAAAGTGGTATGTTAATATTTTGAGCGTATCAGTTTGATTAGAGCAGTGCATTTTTCTCTTCCACATCGTATTGATTATATAACCCATGTATTCCAAAAGTTTCTACTTAATAAACTGTGCCCTCTGGGTCGTATTTGTGATGATTTCATGACTTTGAGCTATATCTAGCGAAGTTGAACACAGAGAATATAATTCCTGATCCTCCAAACCAGAGGTCTCCAATCCTGGCAACTTTAAGACTTGTGGACTTCAACTTCCAGAATTCTCCAGCCAGCATAGCTGAAGTTGAAGTCCACAAATCTTAAAGTTGCCAAGTTTGGGGACCTCTGCTCCTAACTGTTAACAACTCCTTCTGAACCCTTGAAATTTTAAGGCGTTACCTTGAGTCTGAATATTTTTGTGAGGGCATTTAGGTTTGATTTTAAAAGCAACAGGAAGAAATTGTGGTACAGATGGTTCTCGACTTACAACATTTCATTTAGTGACCATTCAACGTTACAATGGCACTGACAAAAGGGACTTAAGACAGTTTTTCACACTTATGTCTGCAGCAGCATCCCCATGGTCATGTGATCAAAATTTGTACGCTTGGCAACTGGTTCATATCTGTGATGGTTGCAGTGTCCTGGAGTCACCTGATCACTTTTTCACTTTTTGTCAATGGGGAAGCCAAATTCACTTATCAACCATATTACTAATTTGAGAAGCTAGATTCACTTAACAAGCGGGTTACAAACTTATCAACTGCAGCAATTCACTTAACAAATTGTGGCAAGAAAGGTTGTAAAATACGGCAAAACACACTTAACAACTGTTTCACTTAGCATCAGAAATTTTGGCCTCAATTATGGTCATAAATTGAGCTGTATCTGTACTATCTGCAATGTATATTTATCTAGCTCTGTTTCCTACACTGAATCCTCCAGAGTAAGTTAAACATAATAAATGAATTGCTTTGAATTATCCTAATATCTTTATGCAATACTATACTTTTCCACTTAGTCTTTTAGGTATGGAATTCCTTCAGGGGTGCATGAGTAGGTAGACAGATGTGGTCATGAAGAACACCATAAACATTTGTGCCTGGATGGCAGGAATTGTTAAATGTTCTGGATTGCTCAATTTGTCCTTTAATTAGATTAAAAATCTAGTTTCTTCCAGGTGTGCTGTCTGCTCATGAGAAACCCAAGAACAGTAGCCCAAGAAAAGAGGAATCCCACACAAAATTGGAAAAACAGAGCATTCAAGGAACCGAGTCCACTTCAGAGAAGGACAGCGGCTCCTGTTATGAATATGAAGATTCAACCTTTGAATCTACCGATGAGTCATCCCATTCAGAGGATAATCGCAGTCTTGAGTCTGAGGAGTCACGGAATAAATCAAACTCTGAGTCCAATTCTGAAATTAGTGAGTCCAGTGAATTTAGTGCAGACTCAGAATCCGAGTTTAACTCTTCAGAACCTTCCAAATCTCTTCCTGTGCCTGTGCAGGAGAAATCCCAGCCAATGACAAAGCAAAATACATTATCCATCGAAGAAGCAGATTTTCAGGCCAGGAATGATCTCAGGAGGCCCGACAGAAGAAATGGATTGCACACCGAGATTAAAACAGGGTCTGGTGCGAAAAGCGAGCTGCGTACTCAGAACAGGAAGTTCAGCCGAGAGCCTCTTAGTGAGAATAGTGAGAATTGCAATGGGAAGAGAAAGGCTCAGACAGAAAAAAGTAGGCTGTACAAAGAAAAAATTAAACAGGATGAAAACGTAGAGTTCCAGATTGGGTTCCCAGAATTAGAAACTGAAGAATATAGTGGGGAGAGAAAGAGACTTGCCATTAAGAAAAAAGAGCAAAATGAGAAATTTGAACATCACGGCAAGAAAAAGTTTCAGAAAGGGAAGACTGATGGTCTTCCTGGAAAGCTGCAAATGAAGAAACCTCCGGCACAGAAAAGCAGATTTTGCCCCAAAGAGGAGCTGGACACCAGAACTGGCCAGCCAACTGGGCAGAAGCAAAGATTTGACCAACCTGATTCATGTCCTGGGTATATGAGACCTACCAGAAAGTATATAATTTCATTGTCCCCACAAAAGGGAGCACAGAATGGGAAGGCAGATGTGCAATCTCAAAAAAGTGAGCTGAAAGTTGGTAAGGCAAGACATCCTCAAAAGAAAGAGATTCAGACTAGGAGAAGCAAGTTGCACGCTGGGAAGAGCAAGGGGAACATCCAGAAAAATGATTTGCATGCTATAAAGAACAGTGTGGATGGCCAAAGAAGAGAACCACTGGCTGGGAAGAGCAAGATAAATGTTGGAAAAAGTGGGGGGCCTGATGGGAGAGTGAAAAAAACAGTCCCCGAGGCCAGAGAGAGAGATGTGGAGAACAGCAGACCTGCTTACACATGGAAAGTACCAGCTACTGTCTGGTTTGGCCCAGCAGAAAATGCAAGTGGCTTTCCATTCGGCGGGATGACTGAATTACTGTATGGCCAAACAGCTTTACCAGATAAAAGAAAACCATATGGAACAAATCCAACTTTGCATAGTAACCAGGGGTCAAACATCCAGGCATGGAATAGAATAAACCAATTACATCTGAAGAAGAACTACCTTCCACACATCGGTGTCTCATTTCAGGAGAAGAAGAATTGGTCACCGCATATAAACAACCCCACTGAAATATATACATCAGATGTCTCCTCTTCCTGCCCAAGATGTTCCCAGTGCTGGTGTAAGTGGTTTCACCATAGTCTGTGAAAATATGCCCAAGTGCTGGACACTTGTTGCAAAGACATTTCCAGGTACAGCAGCTTTTCAATTAAAAATGTTTTCAAAGTCAGGTTTGGTTTCTATTACTTATTCCTACTCCAGAGGATAGGAAGATGATTACAGATGCACCAAGGGAACTGCTGGTACTTAGGCTAATGTGAAGAAGATTGAATGAATGCCATCCTTGAGTGTCCCTGTTCTCCTTGCTACTTATACTAACGTTAAAACAATGCTGCATTTTTGAGATGTGGGGTTCCTGCAGAATGCTTACATTTTTAATTCTGGAAACCTACCCCCAAGTACATGCTTGTATAAAAAGAACTAGAGAAGTGGTTGGGTTGATGGGCCTGTATCTTCTCACTCTTTATTGCCAATCAGAAATCCCCAGCTGGGCCTCCTGTTTCCCCCTCTCCATTCAATGCATTACAGGCTGCCTTTGAATGTGGGTTAAGGATTTAGTTCTGAGTGGATATATTTCATATCCCAAGTTAGAAAAGTGCATTTCACTATATTTCCTGAGACTTTGAATGGAGGTAGTGGAACACAGCAGAAATGATTGTTCCAGGTGATAATAAGATCTCCCTCACAATCTATTTCTATTAGGATCTCATACAGGAGGGAATGATACGCTGCCCTCAGAAATAACTGATCTAATAGTACACAGTATATTCTGTCTTTCTAGTCTTCTAACTTGTATTCTGCTTTGAGAGGCAAGAGCTCTGAAAAGCAGATGATAATATGTTCATTTTGTAGTCTAAGAATAAGCCCAACATTGGCCAGAATGGTTATTTGCATTTTAAATCTGTCCTCTGCTAGTCTCTTTTTGGTGACCCAAGATCAGCATATGTTGCATAAAAAGGGTTGAATGGTTAATTTAATTCCTCACCTGGATATGATGTATGACAAATTAACAAATGTTATACAGCAGGGATGTCAAACATGCGGCCCGTGGGCCAGAAGTGTCATGGGCTGGCCCTGGCCCCGCCCCCACCCGGTTTAGTGAAGGGGGAAAAAGTTCCGATACGTCACATGATGCCGCCATGACGACACGAGTTTGACACCCCTGCTCTACAGGTAAGTCATGATAAGTTCATTTTGAAGAACTACAGCAGAATATAGAAGATAGTAGGTATTTATTTTTATTTCGTTATTAATTTATACACAACCTATCCCACTGTCCAAAGTGACTTTGGGCAGTTTACAAAAGGTATGCTTTGGATATGGGTTTATTCTCTTTTATTATTGTAAAGAATATATTAATAAACTTGTTAAAATTATGTTTAAAAAGTGTAATCACTTATTTCCATCAAGCTGGAACCAATTATCCCATAGTCCATAGAAATATCACTTTCAATAGTGCAAAATTGAATAGTGCAGCCATTTTGTGGGATACATTAACCAAACCAATCAAGAGATACCTGCATATTAGTCTTACACTCTGAGTAAAAGCAAGAGATGCTTTAAGTATTATACTTGACAGGACACATGCAATTCAGCAACATGAAATCATAAAAGAAACATCCACTAATTTAATCCACAGGGAGGATGCAGCTATATTTCTCATATGACAAGCAATGTAGATTTAGATCCTTTAATTTTTTAATTAATGCTTAGAAGCACCATTTTTATTCAGTCTTATATCTAATTTAATATTAGTCTAATTCCCAGTTTCAAAAGAAAGATTGTCCACCTGGTTATAAAATACTTTGAAGCACTGAGTAACATTTCGAGCAAGTTGATTTTGCCATGCTGGTGAAATGACTGACATATTTAGTGCATGTTCGGAAGGGAAGTAGAAAAACTCAAATAAAAAAATAAAACAATTGTGCAAAAGTCAGACAAGTGGACACTATGCCTGCAATTTCTGCCATAACCTAGTAGTCAAGTAATTACTGTGCCACCCTATAATCATGCACATGAAAAGAAAATGTATATCGTCATAGCTGTATGCCTCTAGCAATTGCTACATATATAATATCTATATGACTATACTCTAGCAAAGACCAAAACCAAAATTACACAACATAAAGTAAGACGTGCCAAGAAAAGAAAGAAGGAGAAGATTCTTGATAAGCAGCCAAAGAAAGGGAAGGCACTGAAACATGGGATATATGATCTTATTCTGGTGGAGATGGGATTGGGGAGCACGAGACTGGAGTTCTCCAGATCAGAACAAAGGCAAAAACAAATCCCCGGCCTGTTTAAAGTCTCATTAAAAAAAAACACAAAACAATTTCCCAAGACCCACATAGTACAAACTCACTTTCCTTAGCTATTGGCTACAGGAAGGAGTAGCGATAAGCTCTCCACTTCCTTCTTCCTTCTGTTCTCCACAACTACACAAACTACACAAACACACAGGGGTCCTCCGTCTCTGCTTTGACCACAACTGTACCTCATTTCAGCCATTTTGCTCCGGTTCAGAACCAGTGAATATGGCCTGCCAGGGATTTGTTTGAAGAATGTTGGTAACATTTCTTGCCTTCTCCTATTGGAACGGGGCTTCTACTAAATCCTAGACCTCTTTACTGCTGGCAACATTCAGTGTAATGTTGTATCCCCTATTTTTCATGTGAAATCTATTTTTGCTTAACTGGTTTTTTTTTTATAAAAAATATTGACTTTTTATGCCATTAGAACCATAATTTCAAAGGCCTGTAACTTAAGAGCATTGTATATAATTTTTGCAGTAACCTCTATTTTAAAGGGAGGTTGAACGTTATTCCTTTATCACAATATCATTGTTTTCTTAGTCTATTGTTCCATTACGCTACTATTGTTATGTTTACACTTCTTTTCATTTCTCCATTTTTGTTGTAAGCTGCCTAGAGTAGCTCCCCGGCAAATAGGTGGCAATTTTTTTTAATAAATACATTAAACAAATAACATCTTTTGTGGATCCAATAAAGTATATAAACTGAGTGAATAAACTCAGAGTGTCCGTATGTTATTTTTTTATGCAGAAACCAAGTAGGGCATCTCTAGTATGTCTTTGTTAATTATAATTCTTATACCTTCACTACAGAAATTAGTAGACAAGGCACACACTAGCTATTCATTATACCCTCCTATTCATTACATGATAATCATCACTTATTAACATCTAAATCTACAGTTTGGCTTGTGAATATTTATGTATTTTCAACCAAGACACCAACAAGAATAGAAAAGGATTGTGTTTTGGTCTTGTTTAATTTGTTGTGACACTAGCTGTTATCCGCACAAACAGGAAAGACTTGTTTGATTACTATTCAAACTTAGTTCTCTGTAGCTCACAATGATTCAATGTCTCTATATACTCATTCTGGAAGACAAACCTCCCTAAAGGAAGGACTATTACTGCTGCTTCTGTTTCTACTATTTTCCCAAAGCACTATCCTTTGGCAAATGTATTAATTTATGAATGAAACTCTCCAGCTATTGCGTTCTATCAGAGCGTGTATAAAATATTCATTTAAAAATCCAAAGGGCAGGGATCAGAGCTGCTTACTGTAAAGATTTGCCCCACAATTCCAAGTGGTAATACCTCAATTCAAAGAAAATACTACGCTGCGCAGGCTCCAAGGCAGCTTAAATCCAAGTCAGGTCTAATCCCTGTGAGAAAAATAAAATAAGGGTTTACCCCACTGTGTTATTAATGTTGTACCCTACTTCAGTCCCCTAAACATGTTTTAGCTGCCTTGAGGTAAAACTTAATAACCTGAGTATTATATAATAAAGATATTAGAATAATAAATGTATCTGAGGCTTTGAGGGGATTGCGGATTTGGTACACAGAGTACCGTTGATTGAATTGTGAAGGATCAATCAATGATGCCTGTGTGATGAGACTGTGACTTTGAGTATGTGAAAATTGTGTTGTGCAAGTTGAAATCGTGCCTTGCAAGCAGGACGATTGCTTAGTTGGCAAGATGTGGTGGGCCAAGGCCATGAAAAAAGAGGAACTTACGGTGGTCACACATGTAAAAATAAAAAATAAATGTTTGCAATGCTTTAAATTCTAATAAACCTCTGAATTCTAAAGTGAGACTTTTTGTGCTATGTGCTGTACTGTCTGTTCAATTGTTATTAAGTGCAGCTATGCTCACAATCAGGTTTTTCCCCTGACAGCCCCTGAATCCTAGCAAACAATGCACAAAACTGCATCCCTCAATGGCACATAGTAAATGTTCCATAGTTTTGACTATTTTGCAGTTTCATTCTTTCTTTTTTTGTTAGAGAGCATCCATCACCTATTTCCAGTTACACTTCTAAGTCAGTTATTAAGTCCCAAATGTACACTTTAATGAATGCAAATTTGAGTAATGCAGTATTTAGAGCAAACTGTAAATCGATACCAGGTCATATTTAGTGCAACTCAAACTTCAGTTACTGAGAGGCTACCTAGTTTATACACTGTTGTAGTTGGGATTTTAGCTGCTGCCATTCTTGGAGAAGAGGAAAAATCCATCAGAGGAAAACAATACAAGCTCAAAAAACCCAAGAGGCTCATTATTAATCAGAGCAAAAATTTGATGTAAATAAATGACACAAAGGTGGTCATAGCAAAGGTAAAATAGAACAAGATCCTGAATTTATGATGTGCAATGTTATGCAACTCAGAGGTAATAAAACAAAAAAAAGTAACATTACATCACCTTTTTGTGATTTGCAAACATCTTCAAGATGTTTTTTTTATGTGAGTTTATTTTTAGGAATGATATTTAGAAGTTTTTTATTTTGATTTCAATAACTATTCAGTCCTTTGTTAACAATAAATGTACACAGTATTTTTTGTCATATTGTAATATTTTATTAATATACATATACAAATGTATGCTTAAATATGTTCATAGCCTATTGGTTCCTTCAAGTTGGGACTCCATTTTCTATGGATATGTCATGGTGAATTTGAATAATATGGCCATTTTGTGGGATTCATTAACTGCATTTGCTGGCCTGGCCGGTCCCCCCTCTACTCCAACCTCCCAACTCCCTGGACCATGACCAGAAGCCCTTGCTTACACCCCTGACATCATAATCTGCACCAGCTTGCCATTGGCTGCAGCAGCTGCTGATCAAAAGAGGATAAAGGTAAAAGGATGATGGAGGACTATCACTGTCCTTTCCTACATTCAAGGCAGTCAAGAGGCAGAAACAGAGGCCTTTACAGGTATGAAGAGCCCAACGCATATGACATGATTTCATTCGTTCTTGTTCTCCTGAAGCAATAAATACATTGAACATGGGTGTCTATAGAAACAGGTTCAACCATTTTTAAACTATGGCTTAAATATCCAGGGCAATAAATGAAAAAAAAAGTAAGAATTAGAGACATTAGAAGACAGAGTGCAAAAGGAAGTTTTGGGTTGGTTGGATTCTTAACAACTGCATTATTTCACCTTATATTTAGCAGTGCTGTGATGGATGTCTGTGATTAACAAATCCAGATATTCGTGAATTGTACAGATCTACAAGGCATACCTTTGATATTTTATAACTCACCTTGCATACATTTATATAAAAGAAAACGTTTATATAAAAGATTCCAATGACATTTACTTCACAGAAAAGAATATGTACAATCAGGGCATTAATTTCTAAGAACTAGCTGACTTAGCAAAGATTCTAAATCTATTGTAATACAAATACCCTACTCCCTCTTTGACTCAATTCTTTTAGGGCAACTGATCTAGCTCAGTGACAGATCTCATGTTTTATTAGAAAATCCCAGAGTCAGTCCTCAGTATTTCCAGGTGGCACTGGAAAATTTCCTGCCCCTTGCAACCAGTATTCTTAAGACAGCATTAGATGAATCAACCTGAATCAGTGTGAGACAGCTTCCTATGGTGCACAAATTATTATTGCCAATTATGGACGATGTGTGACAGAGGTAGGAGAGACATGTGCTGCATGACTGCTACCAGCAAAATAGAATATGGAGATGAGCAATGACATTTTCCCTACTTTGCAAAAGGTGGCAGCTCTCTTCCAGGTCTCATGAGTTTGCAGTGGTCTTTCTGACCATTGTTTTAAATTCAAAACGGGGTTTCCTACAGACTAAGAACTCTTGTAGAATGGTGAGAGCAACTAGTTCTTAACTCAAAGTAACCGTTTCAAACTCAAAACTGAGCATTTTTAAATGTTTCAAATTCAAAACGTTTTCTCTACCCCCTGTGGAGCTTCAAGATAGTGGTGTGGCACTTCAGGGAAGAAAGGCTCAAAGGTTGTCCTAATTTTTAAGCTAAAAGGAGTGCAGTGGTTCAAGTGGTTAGGATGCTGGGCTGACAATCAGCAGAGACCCGGTTACTGCCACACGGCGGGGTGAGCTCTCGAATCTCTCTCTGACTCCTGCTAATCCATCCATTTGAAAGCAGGCGATCATGAGTAGATAGATGAGTACCACTTTGGTGGGCAACTTAACAGGGACATGAAAGGAGTCCCCAACTGTGCACCCCCATACAATGGTGATGTCACTGTTCAATCCTTTCAACCTGAAAGCGCTTTGGTGCTCCCGACACAACAGTAGTAGTAAATAGTAGTAGTAGTGGTAGAAGAAGGAAGGAGGAGGAGGAGGAGGAGGAGGAGGAGGAAGTAGGAGTAGAAGAAGAAGTAGAGGAGGAGGAGGAGGAGGAGGAGGAGGAGGAGGAGGAAGAAGAAGAAGAAGAGGAAGAGGAAGAGGAAGAAGAAGAAGAAGAAGAAGAAGAAGAAGAAGAAGAAGAAGAAGAAGAAGAAGAAGAAGAAGAAGAAGAAGAAGAAGAAGA